CCGCGCCATCGGCGCCCCCTGCGCCCCCGGAGTCCTCAGTGCGCCCCGCGCCCCCCACGCGCCCTGGGGAAAGTTCTTACTCGTCAATTTCACACGTAATTTACAATAACCACCCGGATTCCTCCGCGTCGCCTAGGAAACGGCCAGGCGAAGCTACTGCCGCCTCCTCGGAGATCAAAGCCCTGCAGCAGACCCGGAGGCTCCTGGCGAACGCCAGGGAGCGGACGCGGGTACACACCATCAGCGCAGCCTTCGAGGCGCTCAGGAAGCAGGTACCGGCTCCCAGCCGCACACTCTCACTGCGCCCGGGGATGACTGAGGGAGCGGGTGGGTGAGTGGCGGGGGCATTTTAGGGAGGATGAGGATATGGGTAAGAGACAAATTGTCCCCGACTTGTTGGCCCCAGGGCCCAGACAGGTTTGGGTCCCCCTGGAGCAGTGACCTTTGCCACAGCGTTGGTACAGATCTTAGTTTGCAAAGCGGTGATGAAGGTTCGAGATCTCTGGCACGGACACGCCCTGGTTACAGCCACCCCCATCCCCCCTGGGGTGACCCTGTCTGCGCGTCTGACTTCAGCCCTCATAGTTCACTTTTATGGCAGAGAATATTTGTCTCCCGGAGTCCCTTGGGCGCGGTGGGGAATGGAGAGGGGGAATGTGGGAATCTGTCTCTGGCGGGGAAGAGGGGAAGACCCTTCCCCTTCCGGCAATTTGGCGTGGTCTCGGAGGCCCCGAATGCTGCGGAGGGGCGGTCCTGGTTTTGCCAGAATATATGGGTCCCGCGTTCCGGGGAAAGTCTGTCACCACTCCCCATTCAGCCCCCACCCCGCAGCAGGGATGCCCCTGCATTCAGATTGCTTCTAAGCTCTTCACCCCTTGCCCCTCGTGTCCTTAAGAATCGGGGCTACAAGCCCGCGGCCCCCCCCCCCCACCGCGGGGCGGCCTCCGGAACTGGCTGGAGAGAGCCCTCCTAGGAGATCCCCGCCGCTGCTGCCTTTCACCCCATGCCGAAGCAGGCAGGGCTGCTGAGGGGACTGGTTGTTTGGAGGATCTTCAGAAACTAGTTCTGGGGTGAGTTAGAGCTTTTTAGTTTGGAACGGGTTGGGGCTGTCCTCACCAGACACTGTCTTCTGGGGATGGCGTGGGGGGAGGGGAAGGGGAAAATATTTGTCCAAGAAATACCTGTAGTGGGGAGCGGCAGTTTTACAGTTCCACTTCGGCCGAGACTGAGACTGCCCTGGGGTTCTAGGCTGCTCATTTTCTTAGAGCAAAGAGAGATCTCAGAAGAGAATGGTAAGTGCCCCCACCCAGGGCACAAGGAGGGGTTTGAGGGTGGATATGATTGGTTTGAATGGGCAAGAGTTTTGCTTGCGCTGTAGCTGACTTCCTGTGTGACTCCAGGAAAGTTGCTTACCCTCTCTGTGTTTTAGCCATCCGCAAAGGATTTCAGAAAAGATCATCTTCTATCTGGATCACACTCTCCTCTTCCTCTTGTGGGTGGGGCGGGCAAGGTGCCTGTGTCCATCCGTGGGAGGGGAATCGAATTCCTGGGGAAAAGAGGCTCTATGACTTTGGAGCCAAAGTGCCTCACTTGGGTTTGGGTCAGTGAGATGGAGTGAACTGGAGGGGTTAGATAGCTGTTACTGACCCTATGTTGGGATTCTGGACAGTGAGCTCAGTGGAGAATTCAGTTTCACCCTCAGGCAGTGGCTCTGTGTTTGAATGCCTGGGGACAGTGGCAGCTAGAAGGGCATCCTGCCACCCCCCCCACCTCCCAGGATGGAAGGATCAGATGGCAGAGAGATGCCTGTTCACCAGCTCACCTTGCAGCTAGGGAAACCCCTCTCAGATTGGGGAAGTGCCCAGAGCATCACAGCTGGGGAGTAGCAGGGTAGGGCTGACACCTAGGTCCTTTGACTGCTGGTTCAGGGTCCTTTTTACTCCTCTGGCTGCCTCTTTTAGTTCTGAGAAAATGTTCATGAGCTCTGTGTGCTCAACTACATCTCATTTGTCCAGTGGCTTCAACTTCTTTCAATAATAAATTCCGTTTTGTTTGATCTTAACATCCCTGTCAGTTGAATTAGCCCATTTAATGGAATGGAAAACTGAGGCATGAGAAAAGAAGGAAGGAGACTCTTCCAAGATCACCTGGTGGGTTAGGGAAGATGACAGAAGTTTCTCGAATGCCAAATGCTTCTCACAGTGTCATCTGTATCTGCACTATGAGCTCCCCACCCCGACTTGCAGTGCTGTTAATAGTTGGAAGCTGGGTATGCATATGGCTCGCTTTGAGATGAGACTGTAAATCCTGGTTTCCTTTCACTTCTACCCTTCTTGTGGGGAAGTTCTGTGTAAGAGGGACAAATTCAGAGTGTACGCACACACGCAGGTACACACAATTGTCTGTGTACACATGATCAGTACACGTGCCCAGGAGCACACACAAGTGCAAGAAGCGCCTGTTACTGGCTGTTCCCCTCGTGCCCAAACCGTCTGTCCCTTCCCTATAAACGCTGCTGGTGGGCACCTGTCTGTCGTCTGGGAGGAAAGAAATACAGCGGGGACACTTCTGGTCCCAGAGCCTGGGCTGAGGCCATACTCACTATGTCCCCATCACACAGCCCCCATCCAATGGGGAAGGTCCTATGTCTCCGACGCACTCCCTCCTCCTCTGGGCATGTAGAAGGCACACACATGTGCATATGCACATACACACACACGCCCGTGCATGTGTGTGTGTCCCTATCCAGACTGGCTGTGGCTCTGGATCTAGGCTCAGGCTTGACCGTTTGAAATGGGCCCTGGGAAAGGAGGGAAGGAAGGACGATGGTTCTGTCTGAAATGAGGCCTTGGCCATTGATTGCACCCATGAGGTTAGTTCTGCAGTTGTAGCTCTGCTCTGGGGCTTGGTTTCCCTCAGCAGCTTCCTGGTACCATGAAAAGAGCACTGGGTGGGGAGTCCAGAGGTTGGAGTTTGAGTCATGCCTCTTCTGTATGCTTTCTGTGTGACCCTGGACAAGTCACTTTCCCTCTCTGAGCCTCAGCTGCTAAAGCTGGAAAATGGTGACAATGCTGGGCCTCATGCACAGCTTTTTTGCAAAGAGCGAATGAAAAAAGGAATGGGGGCCGTGGGAGGAATGAACGTTTTTTGAGCATCTTATAGAGCCCTCAGTGCTGGGTAAAGGCCTTTACAGATGTGTAAGTAAGAATTCCATAACCATTCAAATAACCATTATAGAAATTACCATTTATCAGAGTTGCTTTGTGCTGGGCCTGTGCGGAGTGTGTTATGTGTATTAGTTCATTTAATGAAATAGGTGTTGTTTCCAGCCCCCACCCCAGCCCCACCCCCAATTTCACAGACGGTGAGACTGAGCTTCAGAGACTCATGTAAGTTGGTGGCGGTCTCACAGCCTTTCGCTGCCGCACGTGGCCTCGCGGGTTTTGCTCTGCACACCTCCCTGGCCACTCACTCCCCAGGCTCCGGGGTGCTGGTGCTCCCCGGGCCTGGTGTGGTCGCAGCCTGCGTAGATGTGTGCCGCTGTCATGCAGAGCCCGGATTCGAGTCAGAGTCAGCGAGTCGCTCCAGCGCCCTGGCTCCTAGGCCTGTTGAACACCCTGGAGCTGTCCATCCCCGGCACAGGGAAGCCACACAGCCTTCTGTGTCATCCAGCCCACCATGCTCTCAACCAGGAGGGGAACGGGGGTAGGGGGCTGCCTGGCCATGGAAGCGCAGACTGGGGAGAGAGGGGCCCTCTGATCTGGGGTGTGCGTGGCAGCCAGGCCCCGGGTGGTGGGTGTGCGGGGCAGATGGTCAGGCCGCAGCACATGCCACCAGCCCAGCTGCGTGGGGCCCTCCCTGTCGCCTCATGTGAAGGCCATGTGTGCACAGCTGGGCCTGGCCCATGTGCGGGGCTGCTCCACGCCAGGTGGGAGGGGGTCCAAGGGAAAGCCTGGCCTTGCTGGGGGTGAGGGGAGGGGCCAGAGCTGCGGGCCTCGCCTCTTGGCAGAACCCTCTGGCTCACAGGCCGTGCTCACCCTTTGGGCGTCTGGTGTGTGTGCAGATTTCCTCTCTCCCTTAGAAGTGTGAATGGAGGGATGGCCGCCTAGCCAGGCGGAGGCCCGAGGCAGCAGGGAGGAGCCCTCAGGACCCGCCGAGGTGCTTCTTCATTAAGAAGATACCCAGCCCATGGGCCCCTCCTCTGCTTCCCCTGGAGTGTCCCAGGGACTCTTCCATAGTGAACTCAGGGTGGCCCAGGAAGGGGCATGAAGATGGCACCCCCAGCCCAGCACCTCCCTCAATCTCAGACCCCAGAGGATGCCAGGGGCCAGAGCCTCCCTGCAGCCTGTGCACCCCTCCTCAGGGAATGAGGGACAGGCCTGCCTGCCTCCAGACAGGAGGGGGTGACAGAGGTCTCTCTCCTGCTGCCTCGTGCCCACAGTCACCAGGGCAGCTGTTGGTGGAGACTCATTGCGCTGGGCCACGTGCCTTACCTGGGCCTGTTGTCTGCATTTCTGTAGGGCTGCCTCCCTGTTTCACAGGCAAGGATGCTTACAGGGAGGCAAAGCAAGTGGCCAGGATTTGTCCCATCTTGCTCCGGAGCCATGGCTCTGAACTACTCAGACCTGGGTTCTCTGGGTCCAGCCTCGTTGCTGTGTAGCTGGTGGGGACTTCGTCTAAATGAAACTTGACAAGAACCTTGACCAGCTCTGTGAAGTGGCTTTGCCGCAGTGAGGCAGCACTCGCTGACCCGAGACGATTAGAGAATGATTTCAAGTGGAATCGAGTGAGGATGCAGTGATGTCGGAGCTCAGTGGGTCCAGGAATCTTGGTGGGCTGGCAGGAGGGCGTCTTGAGCGGGGTCCAAGGGTAGGTAGGTGTTGGCACAGAGACAGGGGGGTGGAGGTCTTCCAGGCCTCCCCTGTGCTGGCTGGTCGGGTCCTGGCTTTGTTTCTCTGCAGCATCTCCTACATCTGCCCACGATTCCATTCTGCGGTAACAGATATTCTGATGCCCGTTTTGTTGGTAGGGAAACAGGTCCCCTAAGGTTGTGGATCTGCCTGAGATCACATGGACGGCCAGGACTGGAGCGTGGTCCTCAGGATCCCAGGCTCTTTTTCTCCTGCTTTCTGGAGCCAGGGGAGGGTCCGGCTTGGGGTAGGTGGGATGGAATCTTTTAGGGACATAGGGGTCCCGTGAAAATCCCCATGCCTGTTTCCCAGAAGCTTAACAGTTCTGTGGGGTGAGCATGAGGCAGGTCCTTTTACTTTCCTGGAAGTTGGGCTGCCTGTCAGGAGTTGGAGCCAAGCGACCCTGCTGCCTCCTTTGGCCTGTGTCCTCTGACCAGGCCGAGCAGACGACTGCTGGGGGGTCTTCTGTAGGCAGTAGGGGTGGCTGGGCTCTGGGCCTCGCTGTGGATGCTCGGAGAGGTAATACACAAAGGCCTGGGTCCCTTGAATCCAGAACTCTCCATCCCCAGCTCAGAAGGGTGGGCTGCCCACCTCCCCACCTTGGGCTATAGATGCTCACCCACGCCCCCAAGAGGTTGCTTCTGGCTAATTGGAAAGAGTCCAGCTAAGGTGTGAGTTCAAAACCCAGCTCATCTCTCATCATCTGAGAGATACAGGAAGTTCTCATGCCCCCAGGCAACAAATGCTTCTCTCTAAAGTCTTCATTTCTACCTCATGGGGCTGTTTAGAGGTGAAATGTACTCAACACACCCAGTCCTCTGCCTGGCCTTAGTAGGTCTCGAGAAACAGCAAGGGGTGATCTGTTCCCAGCAGTCGTGGAGGGTACACATGTGTTAACCCCACTCTCCAGATGAGAAAACTAAGGCACAGAGGGGTGAAGGTGCCTGTCCAAAATCACACCACTCTTAAGTGCTTAGGATTCAGACCAGCTCGTTCTGCCCTACCTTGACCTCCAAGAATCAGAACTGGCTGCTAGACTCTCCCTGGCTAGGGTGCCTCCAAGCTGGGTTCTCAGGCTCCAGGCTGCTGCATCCTGGGGCGTGGGCACCAGGAGGATCTGGAATTAGCCAGGGGAGCTGTGGAACACCCCCCGGGGAGTGAGAGGAGGAGAAGTGAGCGGCCAAAATTTGTCCCTGGTGTCCCCTCTGTTGCTGGGAGAGCCCGGCGGCCATGTGCCTTCCTTGGGCGATAGACAGAAAAACTTCTGGCTCCAGCCAGGTCTTGGCTGAATGACCTGGGGCCCAATATGTCACCTCTCTGTTTCCTCATGTGTCAGTGGGGTAACGATCTTTATTTTGGGGAAGATTTTGGCGGGATAAAACTACCTGTAAATAGTGGTCGCAGAGCCAGGTAAACAGCCAGAGCTCAGTTGATGGCTTTCTTGTTAGACCTGGACTTTGAGAGAAGCAATGGGACAGAGTGACAAATCTGGGACAAAGCTGGCTCAGAACCTGGCACGGGAGCCCCTAGGTTGGCCTTGCCCTCATCTGTTGTCCCCCGGTGACCCTGGACACCCACGTGGAGATCCTGCCCTAGATCCCTGCCCCCTACTGGCAGGGAAGCCCAGCTGCCCAGGGGCCAAGGGCTCAAGGCCTTGGTAACTCCCAGCGTGGCCTCTGGGTGACAGCACACTAGGGCCTGTGTCCCAGAGCTGCGCCCCGTGTCCAGAGCCTCAACCAGGCAGGCACTCCCTCCTGGGGCACAGAGGAGGCAGAGGTGTTGGGCTGAGCCCTGAGCCCCCCAACCCTGCCCCAGGACTCCCGGGAACCTTTCTGTCCTACAGATCTTGTTTATTTGTTCAGGCTGATAAAGCAGGATTCTCTGGACCCTGGTTGGGAACAGGCAAAGTGCATTGTTCTCTGAGCTTTTCTTGGATGGGTTTGGAGCTGTCGCCGGGGCTGTGGGGGAAGAGGGAATGCTTAGGAGCTGGTGGTCCCTCTGTCACCTCCCTGCCCCTCCTTGGGTTTACTGGCCTGGTGAGGGGTGACTCCTTGGCTGCTGGAGGATTTTGAAAGGTGACAGAAAACCTTGCCTCTGGCCTGGGCTGGGGTCTCCGGATCCCCAGAGGGTGAGGGATGAGCAGGTGCTATGTTCTGGCCAGATCTCTTGTTTCTCACCCTCTCCAGAGCCCCAATTTGGAGACCTTCTGCAGCACCCACCATGGGAAAAGTGTCGCTGAATTATATCAGGCCTTACTCTGCGCAGTGCATACACCATTTCCTTTAGTCCTCACCACGCTGTCGGTCAGTCCTGCTAACAATGCGATGAGGACACTAAGGCTCAGACAGGTCGTCTCTTGCCCAGGGTCTTGTATCTGGGAGGAGCTGGAGCCAGGAGTTGAACCCAGGTGCCCAAAAGGTATGCGGGCTTAACTAACTCTTCTCCAAATAACTACATCTTCATCGTCAGAGAGAGAACAGCTTCTGAATCCAGTTCTAAACACTCTGGAGATGCCTGGTGAACGTTCAGGGAGATCATTCATCTGTTCATTCATTCCCTCCTTCAACAAGCCCCTCTGAGGCCTGTTGTGGGCGGGGCCTGCGCTAGGCTCTGCACACAGTGGCCTTCCCCTGACTGGCAGCCAGGGAGACTGAGCATTCAGTGAGTCACAGTAATCAGGAGTTAAGGACAGATCGGGGCTGTTAGGGAACCGTCAGGGGCAGGCACCCTTACTTCCCTGGTGCAGAGGAGGTTAGAGGAAGGAAGATCCTGGACAAAGTGAGCTTTTACTGTTTAATTCTTATTTTTTATTGACGTGTAGTCGATTTACAGTATTAGTTTCAGCAAAGCGTACAGCAGAGTGATTCAGTGATACATATACATGACTATACATATGTGTGTGTATATTCAGATTCTTCCCCATTCCATGCCATTACAAAGTGAACTTTAAAGTAAGGCTCACGTGTTGCTGCATTTAGGGTCCTCATCTGAAGGGAAGGACGCGTCAGAGCAGCGGTGGGCTCTCTCGGTCCGCACCTGTCAGAAGGGCTTCGTGGTGGCGTCTCCACGCTGCGGCGCAGGACTCTGCTGCCGTGTTTGTAACTTCCTGCTCATGCCGCCGGAACACTGGTGGGCAGTGCTGGAGACCCCGTCTCTTCACCCCGTGTGAATTCCTGTGCAGTTAGTGAAGGTCTAGCTGGTGATGAATGTTAAGTGTGTCGAGTCTGGCTGGGGCTCCATTTATTAGGCACCTGTTGTATATCCAGGCCCAGAGGGCAGAACGTCAAGGAGAAAAGAGAAAGCCAATGACATGTGGGTCTCCCGGCTAAGCACTGACACTTGCCTTCTGGTATGTTCCCAGGGTCCCGGGTGCCTAACTCTGGGATAACATTATAGCATCCCTCTTGAGTGTAAGTTCTCTGATGACAGAAACGAATTATTATTCATTGTTGGACCCCAAGTGCCCAGCGAGACAAATGTCACTGAATGAATGAACAGACTCTTAGAGCTGAAAAACAGCTGTTCTCTCTGAGAGACTCCTTCTCAGGGAGGGGGGGACGGAGCTCCGTCCTGGGGGGGCCTTGCTGTGCTCCGTGTTCACTGACATTTGGGGAAGAGCAGAGCCTCACGTGGCCCCCCACAAGGTGGGAATGCGGATGCCTCCTGGGGTTTGCGAGTGGCCGCACTGTGATGTGTGTGTGGGGACATCAGGTGGCCCAGAAGAGGGAATGAAATCTGGGTTGCGGGATTAGACAGGCCACCTCTGCCACCTTGCAGTCCCCTCTCCTGCAGTGCGGTGTCTGTGAGTGGCTGACAGCTGCCTGGCCAAGGTGCCCTTCCGGGTCGTGCTCAGCAGGGACCCCGGCAGCCCCTCCTGACGCCTCCTCACTCCCCAGGTGCCGTGCTACTCGTATGGGCAGAAGCTGTCCAAGCTGGCCATCCTGAGGATCGCCTGTAACTACATCCTGTCCCTGGCGCGGCTGGCCGACCTGGACTACAGCGCCGACCACAGCAACCTTAGCTTCTCCGAGTGCGTGCAGCGCTGCACCCGCACCCTGCAGGCCGAGGGCCGCGCCAAGAAGCGCAAGGTAAGCGCGGCCACGTAGGCAGCAGCCTCCGGGGAGGGCGGGGGAGGTGGGGACAGGAACTTGGGGCGCCTCTCACTCACCCAGGCTTCCAAACGGACCATCAAGATCAGCCTCTTGGAGGTTCCAGGTCTCCTCAGGCCCCTGGGGTCATGTGTGGCTCTCCTGCTGGTGATGGGGCCTCTGGGTACCAGGGACGGTCGCCCTGGGACAGTCACCCAGGGCCTCTGGGCCTGGCTTTGCTCATCACTTAGATGAGGAGGACGGCTCATCTCTGCAGCTCTTTCTGGTGCCGAATCCCCCAGGCAGCCCCAGATTGGTGTCACATCAGGGTGAGCTCCCCTGAGCAAGTGACAGCCCAGGAGAGCCTTCAGTATTTTGGGAATTTGTCCTGGCCTGTGGCTTACCTCTGGCCACGCATTAAAGCAAGTAATCTTCATTCATTCATTCCAAAGAGATTTGCTGAGCCCTAGCCATGTGCTGAGCTTGCTGGGCAGGGGTATAAAGATGATAAACATGTGGTCCCAGCTGCCCCCCGCAGCTCACAGGACAGTCAGAGACCCTCTTGCCCATGGATAAAGGCAGGACAGTGTAGCGAGGAGACTGGAGGCCTGTGCTGGGACAGTGGAAGGCCAGGCGGAGGAGGGACAGGTTACCTCTCCTGCCCAAGGGTGTTTGGAACTTAGTCTAAGTGGTGTTTGAGTTGGGACCAGCAGGACCACCAAGAGGTCATCAGGCAGATGAGGCAGGAACAGCATCCAAGGCAGAGGGAACAGTGTGTACAAAGCCTACTGCACTTGGAGAAATGTGTGTGGGAGGAAAGGGGGGAGCACAGCTGTGGTTCCCAGATGGCCTGTGCTTCCAGCATTTCTAGTTGGGGTCATTGCCAGGCAGTGCAGAGCAAGGCTTATGGCAGCCGTCTGGGTCTCTGAGGCCCCGAGGCTAGAGGGAGAGAGACAGAGGGGGGACCCAGTCTGTGTCCATAAGGAGGATGGAGGTGGTGAGAGATGCCTGACTCCCCAGGGCATCCAGGGATGGGGAGGGCGGGGAGAGCCAGGTGACTCTGTTCTTCCCTTCCATCCTGGCTGGCCCCTCCTCCATCTCTGACATTCCTCCCCCAGCCCCGCTCCAAGGAGGCCCCTCTCCAGGTTCTCCAGGTTTCCCAGAGGCCCCTTCAAGAGGCTTCAAGCCAGAAAGGCCCTCAGTGAACTGTCCTGCCCACAGCAAGGAGGGCCCCTGGCTTGTCCCCACCGCCAGCCAGTGCAGAGGGGTGATGGCCCATCGCAATCCTGGGAGTGATTTAACATGGGCCAATTAGATGAAATCTTTGTCAAGTGGGTGAGAGAGGAAGCGCGACTGGCTGCTCCTGGGGCGGCTTTCCTCTGGAAAGTGACGCGGGTAAATTAAGGGCGTGATTGATGGCTCCATGCTGCTCTCTGTGACAAAGGAGGGTTGTAAACTCTCCGTGAACTTCCCCTGGCATTTGGGCGGGTGGAGGTGTGGATGGGCAGGGTGGCCAGGCACCACTTTCCCATCTCTGCCCCTCGCTCCCCCTCTCCTCAAGTCCTTCCCCACCCACCAAAGGCAGGGGCGCAGGGGGCCTCTCCTTCCCAGTTCTTTGACTGGAGCAGAGTGTCCTGGGCTGGGGAGGAAGCTACACTCTTGGAAAGTGAGGGGATAAGGGTGTGGGGGTGATGATGCCCCGCAGAGATGAGCTTCTGGCTTCCCCTGAAATCACCGTATATTTAAGACCCCTTAGAGACCATCTGGTCCAGCCTCCCCATTGTTCAGATTGGGAGACTGAAGTGGCAGATTGTGGATAACAGCATCAAACAGCCCTGAGTTCAACGCCTGGCTCCCCACCTACCAGCTGTATCATTTTGGACCCATTTCTTAACTTCTTCTTGCCTCAGTTTTCTCATCAGTAAGTGGGGATGGTGGAAACATCTGTGATTTTCAAATCCTTTTCCAGTCTGACTCCAAGCAGAGGTCTTGCCTCACCTCTGAAGGACAAGGGGACCCCTGTGTCCTGCCAGGTGGGCTGTCCTGGGGCTGCCATCTCTTGAGCACCGTGCCTGGGGGACTTAGAAGGAGGGACAGGACAGGGTCCTGGCATTGCTGGGACATCTGAGACCCTGCAACTGCCCTGGTGATCACAGGACCACCTCACTCCTGCCGTGTGTGCCTTCCTGCCTCTCAGTCACCACACAGGTGGGTAAGTTTCATGGTGGCCTCAGGGATGGTCTTTAGTGACCCACCTCGTGGCCATGAATGGCGGGGGTAGGCCACTGCTTTGTTAACCAGAACCAAGGGAGCTGATGTCCCTGGAAACACGCCATTCATTCATTCATTCATTCAGTGTTTATGAAGCCCCTGAAGTGAGTTCCGCACTGGGGAATGCAGTCCTGTGCATATGGGCGCCACGATGGGTGTTTCTGGTGGGCTGAGCTTGACCCCCCCATAGTCCCTGTAGACGAAGCTGTGGAGGTGGGGCTCAGATCAAGCCCCTGTTCCCCTCCCCTGCAGCCACTGAGGGCAGCCTGAAGTTTTGGGGGATGAGAGCGAGTCAGGCTTCCATTCTGATGAGGGATATAGAAAGCAATGAGAGGAAGAAACTAGAAAATGTGCCGATGTAGGTGACCAGCTGGAGGAAGTCCTCCATGAGTGATTGTCACCAATGTCATCGGTGGTGTTGAGCTCTCCCCTTTGGGGGTGGCTCCCTCACCGTTCATGTGCCCCAGAGGCTGGGCAACCTTTCTCCAGGACACCTCCTTGAGAGATTGTCCTCAGTGTCCTGTGATGAACTGCCCTGTCCCCCCAGACCTGTCTTAAGAATGGGATTAAAGTGAACTTGACTTATCCTTTTGTCCATCTCAGCCCTTCTTTGCCAGGGGGTGGGGACCCACATCCTTTGACTGGTGAGTCCGCCGTCTCTGGGCCTCACAGGACGTGACTTTGGGGGTTCAGGGCCTGTTGCGAAGCCCCGGTCATGCAGAGAGGCCCGTGGGAGGCCGCCCAGCAGAGAGACAGGTGGGAGGAGAGAAGGGCTCTGGAGAGCTCAGCTCTGACTCCGGCTGCAGCCGGAGATAATGCATGTTAAGCACCTGGCTCTGGGCCATGTTTCCGCAGCTCCTGTTTTTAAAGCAGCAACTCCTGGGAGCTTCTGAGGAGGAGGAGGAGGAGGAGGAAGACCAGGAGAACTGTTCCACACCTGGGCCGGGTGGGCATTGCCAGACCTGAAGAATAGGAAAGGATCAATTTCCCACAATCTTGGGTACTGCCTTCCAGCAATTTTAAGGCATTGAGTAATAATGATGATGATGATGATGGTAATAATAATAATAATAATGAAAAACAGTAGCAGATACTAACATTGATGGCATAGTTTAAGACCTGGTGATAAATAACCAATAAGTTCCTGGCCCTAAGTTGCTCGCTGGCCCCAGGTTGGAGGTGGGGAGAGTTAAGGCGAATCCTAGTGCACTGAGCTCAGGGCTGTACCAGAGGCCTGGGCAGTGATTGGTGACCCCCAGGGCTGTGACTGTCGCCGCCTATGCCAGCCAGAGAGGGTTGGGTCTGCAAGGCCAGAGGCTGCTCCTCACCCTGTGGGTGGGCTGGTGCAGAGGAGGCATGCGGCTGGTATAGCTCCATCAGATCTGTGTCTTCCCTCTTTCCCTCCTGTTTTCTGAGCAGAGGAGGCTTTTCGTGGTGATGGCAAGTCCAAGGGTAGCTGGGCTCCTCTTTGGAAGGACATCTTGGGTGCAGACTTCCATAGCTTCGGTGCTGGGGACAAACTAAGGTGGCATATTGGCTTTGAGGGTCAGTGGGAGTCATGCGTGTTCTGAGGGGGTGGCTGAACCCAGGCCTCGGACAGGACCCGGTGGCACCTGCATTTTCTGTGGACTGTTCCTGAGCCCCGCGGTGTTCAAGGCAGAGAGAGTTCCCCAGAGCTCCTCCTCCTCCGGCTGGGTCTCAGCCCCCGGGAGCACCTGCGTCCCCAGAGTGCCCACCGAGGGGCACTGTCCTGTCTCTGTCCCCACCTGCCACGTACATAGTCACCCCCACTGGGGCTTCGGTCTCCACTTCTGTAAAGTGAGTTGACCCCAGAAGTGATTTCTAAGCCCCCTTCTGGTCGGACTTTCCGAGCTGAGATCACCCCAGTCCCTTGTCTTGTCTAAATGACTGTGTCACACTCCTGTCTTCTCTGCCCATCACGGGCATTTCACTCAGATTTGCAAGTCTCCCACAGGGACTGCTGGGACCCCAGTGCAGTGCGCCCTGAGAATACTGCCAATATCTAATGTTCTTAGAGCCCGGATCATGCACCAGGTGTGGTGCTTGCTGCTTAGTACTCCCAACGTTTCACCCTGTTGACTCCTCCCACCATCCCTGCGAGGTGGGTGATGGTGTTGTCCCATTACACAAACAGCAAAACCGAGGCTCAGAGGCCTGAAGCACTTGCCAGTAAGTGAGGGGCCTGGGGTTCCCACCGCTTCCCTGTCCCGCCTCCAGCATGGAAACGGGGTGGTGAGAGGAGGTCCTGTTCCCACATGCTCCAGGCCATGTTACTGAGTTAAAAACCATTTGTTCTGAAAGCCTGTGGAGTCCATCTCTGCTGGGAGAAAAGGGGGGTGGGGTGGGAAACCACCATCAGATTCTCTTCTCGTCATAAAAATGGATGCAGTTTCTTTTTTCCTGGCATTCCAATGACACAGACGTTTGTCACCAGCTGTTTGTGCTACCACGGAGTGTTCTCTCAGCTGCCGCTTCCCCTCTCGCATTTGACACCGTTAGCCCACAAGGCTGGCGGGGACTGGGCTGGAGGGGTCGTTGGCTGCAGATGCCCTCAGGTTAGCTTGGGGCTGGCTTCCTCTGATGTTCCCCGGGTGGTCCCGAGGCGGGGGAGAGGCAGGGGCACTGCTCTCCCTCTTCTTGCACTCCCTTCACCGCCCCCCTGTCTTTTTCCAAGTGCTCCTCTCCAGACCTTCACTCACAGACCCCACCCGTCTCCCCACCACGCTATGAATGACAACTCGGGATCTCAGACAGCGAGAAAGAAGCAACTTCTCTTGCTCAGGAAGTCACAGAGATGTGGGAAGCCCTAGCTGATGCTGTAACCCGCCACCCCTCAGAGAACACCCCAGAGCACTTCTTTGAGCCAGGTGACCCCTGGAAAGCCCTGCAGAGGCTCAGTGGTCCTTGATCCAGGATGCTGTAGGTGGGGGTTAAGTTGAGAGAACCCTACAGTACTCCGTGGTGCTGTCATTTAAGGCACATAGAAGTACAACAGGGAGACCTCCAAGGCAAGACCGCGAAGTAGGCAAAGTGTAGGCTCTGGGGCCAGAGACTTGGGTTTGAGTCCCAGCCCTAGCTGTGTGATCTTGGGCATGCTACCTAACTTCTCTGATCCCCGGTTCTCTCATGCGTAAAGTGAGAGCTTACATACCTTCCCTGCCACCTTGCTGGAAGGATTAAACAGGATCCCATATGAGAAAGGGCTGGCATTTTCTTAGTGCCAGAAAGGAAATCTCATGAATTTACGGCTACGAGGTAACAGCTTCACAGGGAAGCCCCGGAGGAACATCTCAGGAAAGGGCAGTGCCCGGAATGGATGAATGGCTGACCGGCCAAGAGGAGGGCAGGTAGTTCTGAATGGGGGACTCCGCTGTCTCCAGCACTTCAGGGCAAACCCCTGGCCCCTCTCCAGCCAGCCCAGAAATCCCTGGGCTTTTAAAGTCCATGAATCCATACCAAAGAACATGCACAACGTTTGGCTGTACACGGTGATAATGCCAATAACCAGACTATCACCAACCATCGTGCCGACCGTGTAGCAAGTGCCCTTTGTATGCCAAGCACCTCCCCTATGTTATCTCCGTCCCTTATGCTAACCCCACGAGTTAGCGCCACCTCTCCCGTCGCACAGAGGGGAAGCCGAGGCCCAGAGAAGCACAGTCATTTGCCCAGGGCCGTGCAGCTCGGAGGTGGGGGAGCTGCTTGAGCCCCTGTGTGTCTCTGGTTCCAAACTCCGAGCTCTTCAGCGCCTACACCAGCCGGCCCTGCAGCTCACACACTGCCCAGCAGGGTGGCCTGTGCCCGGGGAGCAGGGGGCACCAAATGCGGGTGCAGGGCCTCCTCCGAGCAACCGCTCTTATGTAAGCAGCAGGGCTGCAGCGCGTGGAGGGAGGCTCCATTTAGCAGCAGGGAGCCACTAGCCCGCCGGGGGGGGGGTGGCATGGGGTGGGGGAGCTGTCACCGACCCCCGGCACCCCCCACCCACCGCCCCCCAGCGCCGCCGCCAGCGAGGCCTGACACCGGGTTAAGTCGCCTGGCGGCCTCTGGCTGCAGCTGGGAGCGCGCCTGGTTCCCATTCGGGGCGCTGTGGTTTTGATTAGCTGTTCCGCGAGGCGGGCCTGGTGGCAAGGCCATGGGAGCTCCGCTGGAACAGAGGGTCCCCCGCCCGGCCGCCGAAGCCCCCCCCCCTCCTGGCAGCCCCAGACTCCAGATGTTCCGAGCGCTCGCTGGGAAGGCCTGCTGGCGCCACGGAGGGCAGAGGGCAGGGAAAGCACGCGAGCTGGAAGCCCAGGCACTCAGTCACCGCAGGCCTTGGCAGCCCGCCCAGCCCTCTGCTGGCACATTCCCCAGCTCTCCCCTGGCCATCTGTTCCCAAAAAACCCTTTCAGAGCCTCATCATCACTCAGGATACAACAGCACGAGCAGCTGGTTTGGAGGCAGCAGGGAAAACCGTGCAAAAGGTCCTTTGTGAGAGAGGAAACTCGCTTATGAATAACAGGGCTGGACGCCGTAAAAGCTGGCGGCTGGAATCCGTGTTTCTCAGGCGCCACTGTCTTCTCTCGACTCTTTATCTCTGGTTTTTATTTTGTTTCCCCTTGTTTGCTTTTAATGTTGTTTCTTCCTCTTCTTGCACCAGTTGTGACTTTTCTTCCTCCTCTAAGGTGCCCGAAGGCCGCCTAATTAGCTCCCCCGGACGCTGCCCGACTGTTTTTCCTTCTCGAAGCTGTTAAAATTGGGGCTGGTTGGAAGTGACTGTTTTCATAAAACCTCGGCTGGAGGAGACAGGGGAGGAAGAAGGTGCCCGGGAGGGCACGGTGTGGGCAGGGCAGCAGAAAGTCATAAACCCCAGGGAGGGCGGAGGTGGGCAGAGCTGGTGCAGAGACCCCCCCGCCCCGCCCCAGCTCATCAGAAGGCAACACGGAGACACTTTGGGAGGACAGTGGCATTTGTGAGACACCCAGCGCCTGGCCCCTCAGCTGATTGCAGTATGTATGACATGAAGCCTTTTTTAAGAACTGCCACCGCTGCCAGAAACTTCTGGGAGATGTCTGCCTGGAATCTGGACACCTCCTGGGAGCAGTCACCGGGTGGCCTGTCGGGGACCTGTGAGGTGCTGGAGCAGGGCTGGCAGCTGGGAAGCCAGCATGGGGGTGGGGGAAGGAGAGGACAAAGCCTGGCCGCCTTCCTCATGCTCCCTGGACCCCTTTCTCATGCTCCCTGGACCCCTGAGGAGGAGCTGAGAGTCAGGCCCAGGGCTGCCAGTTGGAGGTGGGGAGGGGGACGCCTCCCAAGCATAGATGGTGGTGACCTCACGAGGGGGGTGACAGGTCAAGGGCAGGGAACAGGGTTGGGGAGCTGCGTCCCCTTTCCTTTCTCAATTCCCGCATCCCTTTTTCGCTGCTTCCCCACACTGTCCGTGAGATGCAGGAGCTTGGCCGCCCCTCCCCTGCAGCAGAGAAAGCCGGTGGCCCACGCGGCTGTGGGTGGCCGGCTCGTCACAAGCTGAGGCTTAGGCTCTGCACTTCACTCAGCCCGTACTTCACTCCTCCCTCCTCTCTTCCCAGTTTCAGTCGGGGAGACTTGAGACGGCAGCTCCCAGCCCCGCAGGACAAAACATTTATGTTTATCACAGTTTCAGGGCCATTAATCTCACCGTCTGAAGGGCTGGGCATAGGCGGAGATCCGCCCTCCTTGCTAAGGCCTCGGTGGGCAGGTGTCTGGTCTGGACGTGGAGGCTGATCTCGGCTTTGCCCTGGGGGCTGCCTGGCTGGGTGGCCTCGCTCCAGTGTCTTATCTGGGCCATTCCAGGCTGCCTCCCGATCTATCTAGGGATCAGTGGCACAAAGGATGTGAAATTGTTTTCTGAACTCTGCCCTCCCTCCTGTGTCTCCTGCCTGAGAAGTTGCTCTGACCCAGTGACCAGAACTTGCTTTGCAGCCCAGAGGCTTCTAGAAGGACTGAGTGGTGGGGCTGGGGGCCAAGGCTGCCCTCCCATTGGGGTGACCAGGACCACACTGCCCACTGCCCAGCCTTGAGCCCCCCGGCACAGTGGAAGGCCTGGCACGGGGGGCGCCCGCAGGCCCTGGTTTCCCACCTGTCCTTGACCTGGTCACCCTCTTTCTCCCTGCCCCCACAGACCGGAAGGATGGCTCTAGGGGAAAGTGTAAATCCCTGCCTTTCTTGAACTCCTGGTATGTATGAATGTTTCTAGAGAGTGAAGTAGGGATCCTTTCCCATCTTCAAGGTGCTCCACTTTCCACCCAGAGTTCACGGCCACCTGGGGGCCTGGCCCACCTGCCCAGCTGCTCCCTGGCTCAGTTCATCCCCACCTGAGACCGTCCCAGCAGCTCTGCTAAAAAGCTAGGTCTGACCACCTCACTCCCCTGCTTGAGACCCCTTAGGGGCTCCTCACATGCCAGAGGTAGAGGCCAGACTTCCTTACAGGGCACCCGCCCCCCTCCCCCCCGGAGTAACCTGGCTCCAGCCGGTCACTCCCTGTGTCCCAATTTACACTCCAGCAACACGGAACTCCTCGCCCAAAGGGGCTATTTTTGGCCTCTGTGCTCACGCCGTCCCTTCTGCCTGGAATGCCCTTCTCCCCTGTCTGTCGGGCTCACTCCTGCTCATTCTGGAAGGCTCAGCTCCTCCGGGAAGCCCTCCCTGACCCCTACCCCAGCCTCCGCTCCAAGGCCCCATTGCACAGCCACCCCCCGGCCCTTACCACAAGGGTGCGCAGAGTCTAATTCAGGAAAGAGTCTATGATAAACTGTGAAGAATGTCATAACACGGTGTATTAGGTGATACTCTATTATGTGACATTTTAGAGTTCATTTTATGTCATTACAGTATATTATATTTTTAGGTGGTATTTTGCCTGATGTATTATGTGATATTCAAACTCTATACTACATCGCATTACGTTACACAGTGTGTGTTCAGGGCACCTCTCTAGCTGGACGGTGAGCCCTTTCGTCTCTGTCCCAGCTCCCGACACACAGGAAGCCCCCAGATGATGGCACAGTGTTCCTTCCACTAAAATCCACACAGCGGGGGCTGAGTATTCCCGTGCTGAAGGCAAAGACTCTAGGGAAGGGTGAGCTGGGGGCTTCAGGACACAGCCGGGGAAGGGCCTCTGGGCTCCCTGGCCAGGACTGCTGTCTGGGGAGTTCGGGCCCTTGTTCCTTGGAATCAGGGAGGAGAGCTTTGCATTTCAGATCACACAGCCCCTTCAAGCAGCAACTTAAACGAACAGGGCTCCTGCTTCTCACAGGAACGGTGAGGGGAGGGGGCTGCTCCCTGGGCCCCAAGACCGCAATGATGCTAAGGCTTCAGGCTTCTTTTGGCCTTCACCTCGTGGCTGCAGAGTGGCTGCAGAGTGGCTGCCACAGCACCGAGCCCTTCATCTGAACACTGTATCCAAGGCAGGGCAGGGGGCCTTGCCGGGAAAAGTGTTTCTCTTCACCAGTTCAGTCAGTCCTGCCCAGACACACCCTGCTCCTAAAAGAAGGGGTACTCTCCTTGAAACTGAGGAAGACACTGGGGCCTCTCAGCTGGGAGGGCAGCCAGGGAAACAGCCACATGGCTTGTCCCCGGAGGGTGGACCCTGATTCGTGACCGAGTGGTTTTTCTTCCTGATGGGCTGACCAGTGTCATAGCCTTCACCACAGTGCCAGGCCCGCACCTCCACGGGCTTGCCCTCTTGTCACAGCAGCCCCATTAAGTGAGTGCTAACAGCCCCGTTTTCACTTGACAGCACTGAGGTTCAGAGAACCTAGGGGACCAGGCCAGGCCACGGGTGACCTTTCTGCACAGTGCTTTACAGTTTACAGAGCCCTCTCACACCCGTTACTCCCTTGAGTCGTACAGTGACCTCCTGAGATCCACATTACTAACCGTGGGAGCTGGTGACTCCCACTGGAGGAAGTCACCCCGGGCCACACGGCTGGGAGAGGTGGAGCGGGACCTCAGCAGGCTCATTTGGCCCCATGAATCAAGTGCTGTGAATGCAGACCGTCACTGCCTCAGCTCTCCCTGGGTGAGGGGGTGTCCAGCCGTGCAGGGCCCCAGGCGGGGGGATGTGTCTCTGAGTCTCAGCCTAGCCGCCCAGGAGCTCTGTAACCTTAAGCACGTGCCTCTTCCAAGCTTCGCTTACCTCCTGAGACATGGGTAAAAATGTCCATGGTGAGTAGGGGTCAAGGGAATGACGGCCATAAAAGAGCCTTGTCAACTGGATGCACTGTGCAGTCACCGGGGCTCCTGGAGGACACGGCCGGTCCATCAGGAAAGTGGGCAGAGGGACCCTGAGTGTCCCCTTCCCACCCGGTGACTTACACTTAGACTGAGCTGCCCACGGAAGACCTGACTGTGTTGCCAGGCAGAGGACACTGGGGTCCATCCTTGTGCTGTGTGTATGTGTGTGTGCACGTGTGCGTGTGCGCACATGCACAGGTATGCTGGTGTGTCTGTAGGCACCGTCTGTCAGCATCAGATGAAGGGCCTCCCCCGTGGTGGGCTGAGTTCCCGTCCAGGTGGGACACACACTCGCGAGGTGCCTGGAAGTCTTCAGGGGTTTCAGAACTTCCTCTCTCCCCCCAGAGGCCGAAAGCCCTTAGAGCAAATAGGATGGAGCCAGGCAGCTGGGCACATGGGGGTGGTCCTTCAAGTCCACCCAGAACCTGGAGAACAGTGACCAGGCGTTGCTGAGAACCCCCTGCCCCCCTCCACGACAGTCATGCTCTCCTGCCACCCTGTCCCCACCACACACACACACACACACACACACAGGCACGCACACACGACGTGGGTGGGCAGCCAGTATGGTCATTTGCAAAGGTCGATTCCCCTGGCCCACCCACCCTCTCCACACGTGCACGTAGTGGGTCTTCAGTTA